AGTGAGATTAATTATTTAATTAAAGACCTTATTAAATACATTTAACATGATAATTTCTCTGTTTATTTTGCATTTGTAGATTCACAAAATGAGTAATAACAACTTGTCATTGCGATCTATAATTGAAAAAGAAAATAGGTTGGATGAAACAAATTTAACAGAATGATATCGAAATCTTCGAATTGTACTTAAGTTTGAAAAGAGATTATACACCATTGATCAACCTTACCTGGTTGTATCTAGTCTTGATGCCACTCAGGAACAAAAAGATACTTACCAAAAGTACCTTAATGATGTTGACATTGTCCAATGTATTATCTTAGCATCGATGACACCTGAATTGCAAAAGTAACATGAGAACATGGATGCAGTTGCAATTATTTTACATCTTAAGGAGCTTTTTCAAGATCAAGCTCAACATAAGAGATATGAGGTGTCTAAACAGCTGTTTAGGAGTTGAATGGTTGAGGAAGCCCAAGTTGACCCTCATGTACCCAAGATGATTGGAAAGAGGAAGGGTAATAGCAAGAGGAAGGCTAAAGCCAAACTCAAGCCTAAGCCCAAACCTCAGGATTCTCTGAAGCATACAGGTAGCGTAAGTAAGGATGGGAAGGTGGTTTGCTTCTATTGTGGCAAGTCTGGTCATTTTAAGAAACACTGCAAGGCCTTCTTAGTAAACAAGAAGAAGCATGACTCTTCTTTTAAAGGTATGTATATGATTGAGATTAACTTATCTCCTATTACATCTTGAGTCATTGACACTAGATGTGGTTCTCATATTTGCACTAATGTGCAGAGACTACGATATAGTAGATCGCTTGCCAGAAGAGATGTGGACTTACGGGTAGGAAATGAAGTGCGTGTTGTTGCATTAGTCATAGGAACTTATTATTTGTCTTTGCTTATGAGCTTGGTTTTGGAACTATTAGATTGTTATTATGTACCTTTGGTTTCGAAGAATATTATTTCTGTGTCTGCTTTGGACGAACAAGGATACAGTTTTCTATTACTAATAGATTGTTGTCTTTCAGTTTAAATGATATTCTTTATGGAATTGCTTGTTTACATAATGACTTGTATGTTCTAGAACTAAATAATAAAGAACATGGCAATCTAAACCAAACATATTTCTGGCATTATAGATTAAGTCATGTAAATAAAACTCGTATTGCAAAACTCCACAAAGATAGAGTTTTGGATCCATTCGACTTCCAGTCTTATAAGGTATGCAATTCACGTCTATTAGACAAAATGACCAAGTCGTCTTTCTCTAGACACAACGAAAGAGCCACAGAATTGTTAGACATCATCCATGATGATGTATATAGTCTATTAATAGTTCAAGCTAGATGTGACTATTCTTACTTCATTACATTTACTGATGATTTTAGTAAATATGATTATGTCTATGTCTCATATTTAATGAGACATAAATCTGAGTAATTTGACAAGTTCAAAGAATTCAGAATGAAATACAGAATCAACCGAGCAAAAATAATAAGGTTCTCCAATCTTATCAAAGAGGAGAATACTTGAGCTTAGAGTTTGGTGAATGCTTGAAAAAATGTAGGATAATATCTTAACTCGCACCTCCTTGTACACCCTAGCATAAGTAGAGGTGGAAAAATTTAGTTAATCGAATTGAATAGTTTTGTTTATAAACCAAATCGGTTTTTCAAATGGAATCAGTTAGGACTAAACCAATTTTGAATTAAACCTAATATTCGGTTCGGTTCATTGGTTAATCGAATTTGAACCAGTTTTTTAAATCACGACAATTTAACAAAGTAAAACCTACAAAGCATAAATTTAATCAGCAACAACTCAACCACCAAATTAATCCATCAATCCAACCCGTTATAATTCAAACAAAACCAAAAACGCAAATACGGAGAAAGTAGACAAATAATTCCCAAGTACTCTTGGGCATTCTGTCTTAATCAAGAAATAATCCTCTCCTTTCCTAGACCTAGCTGCATGCCTATATCTAACAGTCGGCTTCTCCATCTTCCCATTCTTCATCTCTCTACTAATTAAAGGAGCAAGAGGCATAAGATCATGGTGATGATGATGATGCCTCCCTTCTTTAGATGCCATATCTATCACTTTAATGTCTTTGGCTGTAGCCTAAGACCTCAAATTCACCAAACCCTTGGCCTCACAAGCATATTATTTCTCAACACCTCAAGAACTTGAGATCGAACTTAGTCCTACTCAATCAAACAAAACCAAAAACAATCAAAACCCATTTCAAATACAAACAAATAAATAAAGGGAGAGAAGTAAATTTCTCTAATAGGAGATTTAGGTTTATTATTAGCAAAATTCCAAACCCTATTGGTAGAGGCAGAATCAAATTTAAGCGATTGAGACAATTCGTCACAAATTGGTAACTAATGGTCTAATGTCGTTCATTGTTCGTCGTTCGTGGTGGTTACTAACGCTGTGGTTATCGCTGTTAATCGATGAAAAGAAAGGTTAAGGGTTTGAGAGCGTTAGATAAAAGTTGAGGGTGGCGGTGAGTTAAAAGTTAAGTTGAGAAAGGTTGAGGGTGGCAGTGAGTTAGAAGTTTGATAATCCTATTTTTCATAGTGATTTTGTATTGAATTTTAATAGGATTTAGGATACTTCTCATATAATTTGGGTCATCATTGCTACTTAATTTTATTAATTTTACTTTGCGGGCGTAAATGATGATTTTGAGCATAAATGAAGGTTTTGAGCATAGATTGCGTAACTTGAGCTTGACAACTCGGAATGACCTGAATTTAAAAGCTATGAAAAGCTAAGAAGCAGAGCTACAATTTTCATGTTTTGGGTTTTTCCTAATTCTGATTAAAAGATGGTGAAAACTTGGCTTGAAGTTGTAAACACCAAGTTGCGAACTGAAGATAACGTCTTTAGATGTGCTTTAGTATTTTGATCATAACTTGAGCTGTAGATCTTGGATTGTTCTAATTCCTGAACGAGTAGAAAGATAATTGAAAGGGCTACAATTTTTATGTTTACTACCTTTCCAGATTTAGACATTATATTGCTCAAATTTGGCCCAGAAGATCGTCGTCGCGGATAAGAAAAAGTTTCGCTGCTTCGAAATTGCGTCAGATGCCAAAAAATAAAATGATGCATTTTGGCTTGCTAGGGTTTCATTTTTAAGTGAGAGGGGTATAAATTGACACGAAAATGAAGGAAAAAAGGGTCTTGGTTTGTTATTTAGGAGGCAGCCCTTAGTAGGAGAAGATTATTGAAGATTTGAGCTTCAAATTAGAGAAGATTTCTCTATCTTTTGCTTGTTTTTCAATGTTGAACCTTGATTCAACTTGTTTTTGTTATTTTGTTTTGTTTTTGAGTATGAACTGAGTTGTTTAGCTAGGGTTTGATGTAACCTTGATACAATGATTCAAAGTTATATGAATTGATTTACTTTGAGTTTTAATTTCATGATTGAATATTTATCTCTTTGCTTAATGACTTTTGGATGTTTGATCACTATTCAAATGTGTGTTGTTCACAATGAGACTGAAAAGTGATTTGTGATATGTGCCTCTTGAGATAAATACTATAGATTGAGCGAAAACTAGGAATAGATAAACGTGATCTATGAAATCATGATAAAATTTCACAAAGTTTAAGAGATCTTAAACCATTAAACTTTAATTTTTGGGTTCGGAAGGTTAATAGGAATAGGTGGGGTGGCATAACCTGAGAAGGAACACCAAACAACTTAGGGAATTTGATTTTCTATTAATGAATTAAAACTTGAATAATAGATTCTATGAATCGGGTTAGCGTATCTAGGTGAAATCAACACCTTAGCATTTTTTTTTTTAGCATTATTTGATTCATTTGGATTTTGAATTTTGTCTTTAATTTCATTTTTGTCATTTATTGGTTGTTAATTTGTATTTAGTTATTAATATTTCATTAATCCAATTTATTGTTGTTTCAGTTAGCACTTAAACTAGAGAAATCGGTACTTAGTAACACTATCCTCGTGAGAACGATACTCTTTTTGTCACTTTATTACTTTTTGACTAATGCACTTGCTAAATATGCATTTGAAATAATGCATCAAGTTTTTGGTTTGAGTACAATGTTTGGAGTCTCTTCCAACATTAATTTTGACTTGTGCCCACTTACACCAAATTCCTTAAATTGTTCCTTGTGAGGCGAGTTGTTTGGTTGAAATTCCCCAAAGTATTTTGCACACCTTTTTGCTTTGAGATTTTTCGCTTCATGATCTTTCAATTATTCTCTTTGCTGAGGTTTCTCCTAAACTACACCATTCCTCAATGTTATGACATGAACTTGCTCTCTAGGATTAACTTCTATTTTGCTTGGCAAGGAACCTTGAGATCTCTTCGTCAATTGTTCTGCCAATTGCCCCACTTGAACCTCCAAATTTTGAATGGACGCTTCTTGATTTTTGAAATTTGTCCTCATCTCATTCATGATTTTTTCAAACATATCCTCCAGCTTGGTTATTCTCTCCTCTTGTGATTGGTAGTTGGCTATTGGTCTTGGTGCTCCTTGATTGCTCCAAGAGAAATTCGGATGGTTCCTCCATCCCGGATTGTATGTGTTGAAAAAGAGGTCATTCTGCGGCGTTTGTCAACTAGCCATGTAATTTACTTGCTCGGTTGTTGAGAAGACGAACGGGTTTCCCAGTTGGCATTCCACACTCGCTTGGTTTTTTGCACAAAATTCACAAGTTAGAAAAGGCAAGTGAAAAATATTTACATTCATACCTCTTAATTGTTTCTGAAGCGTTGAAATCTGAGCGAATAATACGATGAAGACGTCAACTTCATGTAGACCTCTGCTCCTCTTAGGCATTGCTCGCTCATTGGGTCTTTAGTAGTTATTATTGGCCATCGCCTCAAGTAGTTCATAAGCATCTTTTGGAGTCTTGTGAAGTAACGCTCCTCGTGCCGCCACATCTACCATAGTTTGAATATTTGGTAGCACTGTAGAATGTTTGGACTTGTATCCAAACCGGTAGACCATGATGTGGACATTTCCTTAGCAATTCCATGTACCTCTTCCAAGCTTCATATAGTGATTCATTGTTGTCTTGCACGAAAGAGGTAATGTCGTTTCTCATTTTTGCTGCTTTCGCTGGTAGGAAGTATTTTGCAAGAAACTTCTGAGCTAATCTGTCCTATGTGGTGATTGTTGTAGTTGGGTGTGACATGAGCTAACCTTTTGCCTTATCTCTTAGTGAAAATGGGAGCAATCTATGAGACTGAGAAGTGACTTGTAATATGTGCCTCTAGGGATAAATACCATAGATTGAGCAAAAACTAGAGATAAATAAACGCAATCTAGATAGAATTCCTCAAAGCTTGAGAGCTTGAACTATTAAACTTCAATTTTTGGGTTCGGAAGGTTAATAGAAATAGGTCGGGGAATTTGATTTTTAATCTGAAATCAAAACTCAAAATAAATCAATTCATATAAATTTGAATTATTATATCAAGGTTACATCAAACCCTAGCTAAACAACTCAATTCATACTAAAAAATAAAACAAAATAACAAAAACAATTTGAATCAAATTTCATCATTGAAAAACAAGCAAAAGATGGAGAAAACTTCTCTAATTTGAAGCCTAGATCTTCAATAATCTTCTCCTTTCAAGAGTTGCCTCCCAAATGACTAATCAAGACCCTTTTCCCTTCATTTTTGTGTCAATTTATACCATTCTCACTTAAGGATGAAACCCTAGCAAGTCAAAACGCGTCGTTTTTTTTTTTTTTTTTTTTTTTTTCATCTGACGCAGTTTCAAAGTGACAAAACTTTTTCTTCGCCGCGGCGACGATCTTTCTGGCCAAATTTGACTATTATAATGTTTGAATCTGGAAAAGTGGTAAACATGAAAATTGTAGCCCTTTCAATTATCTTTTCACTCGTTCAAGAATAACACCAATATGATGTCTACAGCTCAAGTTATGGCCAAAATACTGAAGCATGTCCAAAGACGTTTTCTTCAGTTCGCACGTGTTATTTACAATTTCAAGTCAAGTTTTCACCAATTTCAAGTCAGAATTAGGAAAAACCCAAAACATAAAAGTTGTAGCTTTGCTTTTTAGCTTTCCATATCTTTTAAATCAAGTCATTCCGAGTTTACAAGCTCAAGTTACGTAATTTACACTCAAAATCGTCATTTATACTCAAAATCATCGTTTAGGCCTGCAAAGTAAAATTAATAGAATTAGATAGCAATTATGGGCCAAATTGTATGAAAAGTATCTTAAAATCTTATTGAAATTCAATACAAAATCACAATGAAAAATAGGATTATCAAAGTTTAATATACAACTAGGGGTTTTTAATTTGAAACTTTATAATCTGGCTTCAGTTAACCGGTTTGGGAAAACCCATAAACCAGAAATCAAACTGGATAACCAGTTTATGAAAATTTTCAAACCAAAACCAAACTAATTTTCAAAAAAATCGGATTTTAGGTTCGGTTTCGGTTCGGTTTTCAAACTTTTTTTTCTACCCCTAAACATAATGGTGTACCTGAAATGAGAAATCGAACCTTGCTTGATATGGTTTGATCTCTGATGGGTTTTTTAGATTTACCCACATCATTTGGGGCTATGCCTTAGAGGCTGCAGCTTACACTGAACCATGTACCCGTCGAAGTTTATAGATAAGACTTCGTATGAATGATGTAATGGGCATAAACCCATACTGTCTTATTTAAGAATTTGGGATTGTGAAGCTTATATCAAGAAATTGACTTCGAACAAGCTTGCCTCAAAGTTTAAAAAATGCATCTTTGTGGGTATATTAAGGAAACTAAACGATACTACTTCTATTATCCAGATGAGCACAAAGTAAATTTGCTCGTACTGGGGTCTTCTTAGAAAATGAATTCCTTCTAAGAGGAGACAATGGGAGGAAGATAAAACTCGATGAAGTTTTGATTCCACAAGATACATTAGAAGAAGGACAAAATGATGGGCCATAAGAGATGGTTGAACATCATGTGAAGGTTATTCCATGATATTTAGATGAAAGTGAACAATCTCAAGTAGCACAAAAGTTGCATAGATTTAGGAGAGTACGTCATGAGCTTGAGAGGTATAGATTTCTCTTGACTCAACACGATGACGTACTGGTCTATCAAGATGATAAACCCAAAATCTACGATGACGCTATATTGGATCCAAATTTTGCTAAATTTCTTAAAGCCATGAAATATGAGATAGACTCCATGTACCAAAACTGAGATGGACTATGGTGGATCCACCTTAAAGGGTTAAATCCAAAGGGTGTAAATAAGTTTTTGAGAAGAAGATTGACATGGATAGTAATATGCAAACCTATAAAGCACGGTTGGTTGCTAAAGGTTTTAAACAAAAACATGGCTAGACTATAATGAAACCTTTTTGCTAGCAGTGATGCTGAAGTCCATCCAGATTTTGCTTGCGATTGCTGCATATATGAACTCAAGCAAGTAAGTTGTAGAGGTTTATATAATGAAATTTGATAGATGGATGTCAAAACTGCATTCTTGAACATAAACCTTGTTGAGGATGTCTGACACAACTCAATGGTTTCGTTCTTGATGGACAAGCAAAAAAGATATGCAAGTTATTGAGGTCCATATATGGACTTAAGCAAGCTTCAAGGAGCTGAAATATTTGTTTTGATAAAGCGTTCAAAGAATTTGAGTTTATAAAAAACGAAGATGAGCCTTGTGTATATAAAAAGATCAGTGAGAGTGTAATTGTATGCTTGGTGTTGTATGTTGATGACATAATACTTATTAGGAATGATATATCGAACTTGTAGTCGGTAAAGACTTAGTTATCAAAGTGTTTCTCTATGAAAGACTTAAGAGAGACAACCTACATCTTCAGTGTTAAGATTTATTGCGATAGATTACATATGTTGTTTGGTCTAAGTCAGAGTATATACATAGACACAGTGCTGAAGAGATTTAGCATGAAAGAATCCAAGAAGGGAGTTCTTCTGATGTCACATGGCGTATATTTCTCTAAAGATTTAAAGATGTGTCTCAAAACATGAGATAGAGAGATAAGATGAGTAGGATACCATATGCATCTACTATTGGATCGATCATGTATATCATGTTATGTACTTAGATTGATATCTCATGTGCTTTGAGCATTTGCATTTGTGGGGAAGAAGCCACTGAAAATCTCGTAAACATGCAAACAGAGACACAAAAGAGTGAACGCGAAGACCTAGAGACATCATTGTGGTGTTGGTCGTTGGCACTCCATCGCTCAAGTCAGCATGATTGTGAGGGAATTAAGTAAGGTTGAGAGCGAGAAGGGTTCACCATGAGTGTGAGGCTAGGGAACAACTTATCAACATAGAGTGGTGAGAACTCTACTCTATGACGATTATCGACATAGAGTAGTCGGAACTTGACTCTACGGTAAAGAAATGTGGTGGTTCTTGAGTGAGCAAGAACTTAGCCAGCTAAAGAAAAGAGTTGTGATTGAATAAATTGTGAGAGGCTTGACCTCTACTTTTATAGACAGCTCAAGGGGTTTGAATCCTTATAGAATTAGGTGTTGTAGTTCATATGGAATTAGGAACACTGGGGGTGTTTGAGTTCATTCCAAGTTAGGATTCCTAGGTATGTGAATTTGTCTAGGACTTGAAGTCCTTGAGGAATGAGGAGTCATCATGGGACTTGAACTCTTTAAGGAGCTAGACTCCTAATCAGATTTAGAGTCGTGATTGAGCCTTAGGCCTTGCTTTGTAGGCGGGCTTAGTAGATTGGAAGGCCCAAATAGTAGGTAACTCAATTTAGGGAAGGGGTTTGTTATGAGGCCAATCAGAGTTGGGCCACAGCATTGAGTCATAATCAGTTGCCCAATAAGAATAAAGTTTGTATGGGCAAAAAGTTATGAATTGGAACAAACATCTATCTTATATATCCCAATTTCCTTGGCAAGTGTAAGGTTGATAATCAACACTTAAAACTCGGCTTTATTGTTGGTTGTCTTGAAGCCGCAACGAATGGGTTATTGGATAACGTCTCCTTTTGGTGAGGTTAGACTCATCCCAGTGTTGTTCACATTGCTTGATTCATTTACTGACAGATTTCGCTTCAAGGATGGGCAATTTGTGAGGTAGAACATCTTTTTTTCAGCTTGGACAAGTGTGTTAGGTGTGAAATCAGCTATAAAATCTGTCAATACTTGTGACTTTATTGCAGTTAGAGGTTGGTAGGTAAAGTCAAACTAGCTCAACTAAATTGCCCTTTGGGTGAGTTGATTGGACAACTCAGGCTTATGCAACACCTTTTTCAATAGGAATGTGGTGAGGATGGTGGCTGGATGATATTAGAAGTATGACCTTAATTTGCGTGCTATAGTGACTAAGGCTAGAGTGAGTTTTTCGAGCTGGTTGTAGCATGTCTCAATGTCGAGTAGCGATTTGCTAACGTAGTAGATAGATATTTGTTTTCCATCTTCCTAACTGATCGATACTGCACTGACGACTATCTTGGAAACTGTTGATGGCTGTCTCAAAGATTGCCAGGTAAATGAAGATTCACTTTCCCTCATTAGGCTTGGATAGTAAAGGAGGCGACATGAGGTATCCTTTGAGTTGCAAGAGTGCCTCTTCACAAGCAAGAGTCCAATCAAGCTTCTTCCATTTGCGCAGAGTGGCGAAGAAGAGGTGGTGCTTGTCTATTGATTTCGAGATAAAGCGATTAAGTGTTGCTACTCTATCGGTGAGGCGTTGAACATCTTTGATGCATGTGGGTGAAGGGATATTTATTAATACGTGGATCTAATCAAGGTTGGCTTCAATATCCTGTTGGGTCACCATGTAGCCTAGAAACTTTCCTATGGAGACTCCGAATGAACACTTAGTCAGATTCAACTTCATGTTGTATTGTTTCAACACCTCAAAGGCTTGGTGAAGATACTTTAGGTGTTGTTCGACGATGAGAGACTTGACTAGCATGTCGTTGATGTAGACTCCATTGTGTCCCATAACAAGTAAGCGAACATTTTGTTGATGAGTCGCTAATAGGTTACGTTGACCTTTTTAAGACCGAATGACATGACTTTGTAGCAGTAGATAACTCTCTCGGTGATAAAAGTTA